CTCTTTTTGCTCATGAGTTATCACAGAGTTATCTCTTCTGTGAACTCCCTATCTTAGTGACTTTTTTTTTTTTGGTTTTTCGAGACAGGGTTTCTCTGTGGCTTTGGAGGCTGTCCTGGAACTCACTCTGTAGACCAGGCTGGCCTCGAACTCACAGAGATCCGCCTGCCTCTGCCTCCCGAGAGCTGGGATTAAAGGCGTGTGCCACCAACGCCCGGCCTTAGTGACTTTTCTATTGCTGTGAAAAGACACCCATGGCCAAGGCAACTTATAAAAGAAAGCTTTTAATTTGGGGGCTCATAATTCCAGAGCCTTAGAGTTCATGGCCATCATGGCAGGGAGCATGAGAGCAGGCAGGCAGGCATTGGCACTGGACCAGCAGCTGAGAGCTTTCATATTGAAACAACAACCATAAAGCAGAGAGGGAGACAGAGAGACAGAGAGACAGAGACAGACAGCGACAGACAGAGAGAAAGAGAGGCTAACGGAAATGGAGTGAGCTTCTTGGCCTCAGAGCCTACCTCCAGTCACACCTCAACACATTCTAATCCTTCCCAAGCAGTTCCACCAAATGCAGAATAAGCATTCCAATATGAGACTCTAGGGGTCGTTTTTATTCAAACCACCATGTTCCCCAAGGCCAGAGACAGCCTCATTCATCTGCCTGTGAAACCAGGCAGGGACACAAAGGGCTGTTCCGTGACTGTTGAATGAATGAATGACCCAGGTGGAACTCTGTGAAGCAAGCTATCAAAGACCTCATGGCTTTATTCTGAGAAATTAGGTGTGTCTGACACTCTGAACATTATATTTATATGTGACATTGCCTTTATTCATCTGAAGCATTTATTTGAAAGGCGTTCTTTGTTTTCATTTCTCTGTCTCCTCCTTTGGCCTCATTGAAGGCTCAAAGGAAAATCTCTGATGTGAGACAGGCTGGAAGGATGAACACAGTGGCCAGATACACATAGGGAGGGTACACAGAGAAATGATGAATACCATTGCCTCCCAAAAGCAATGGGTGGGACACCGTGAAGTTTTACAGTTGGGTGGGTGTAGATGTGGCCTGTCAGTGTAGCCTGGGCTTACACTACTTTTAAGATCTTCTCTTGAAACACATCCTCTTTCTTAAGTTTGCGCATATATTGGGGTGGGGGGGTGGGGGTGAGTTTGCGTGCCTATGGAAGCCACAAGAGGGTATTAGATCTCCTGGATCTGGAGATCTGGAGATTCCTGTAAACTGGTAAACACCCAGGACCAAACTCTGATCCTCAGCAAGGGCAGTGCTGACTCTTAACCAATGAGTCATCTCTCATATCCTAGTCCATCCTCTCAACCACTGCCACGAGATCTTTCTGAAACGTTCCACATTCTCATAGCTTTAAGCGTCAGTATCAGTCGGGTTGTTGGTGGCGCTCACCTTTAATCCCAGCACTCGGGAGGCAGAGGCAGGTGGATCTCTGTGAGTTCGAGGCCAGCCTGGTCTACAGAGTGAGTTCCAGGACAGCCTCCAAAATGATACAGAGAAACCCTGTCTCAAAAAAAAAAAAAAAAAGTCAGTACCAAAACATGTTATTGTTAAGAAGGCAGTTGAGTTGGTATGACACACAACTGTCGTGTCAGCCCTCAGGAGGCTGAGGCAGGGGTGTAGGGAAAAGGGACCAGTCAAAGAAACACACCCCAAGCAGAGCCAAAGAAATACACTTTGGCCCTGCAACTGAAAGACCCCAAGCGGGGGACTTTCACGGGAGGGAGACCCAAACCCAAGGATCAACGAAACCACGAGCTTGGATGCAACAGCAAGAGGCTTTATTGATAATACACGGGTACCCGGGGCATCTCAGTCTCGGGAACTGAGAGCCCCGAGCTGGGGACTCAGGGGTCCTTTTATAGCAAAAAGCGGAGTACAGAAGCAAGAAGCCTAGTTACAGGACCTTGATTGGGCAATTTAAATGAGGCTAGGGCTCAGAACGAGGGCAATTAAGGTTTCTCTCAGAACTCAAGTCTCGGCCTTGGCCCTATCTGAGGAACAATAGGAGGTCTCTGTGCTTGCCCAGTCTTTCTGGGCTGGCTATAGACACCTGTGTCCCTGGGCAGAGTTCCCTTCTGATAAAGAAATGACTATTCAGCTGAGCTGTGGGGGAAAGGAATTTTCCATAGGCCTCAGCCACCTATGCTGGGCCGGGGTCTTTCATTCCCCCATTGCTCTTGTAACTGAATGAAATCTTTCATTCAGAGGTTTCTGCCATCTCGAGATCCCTTTGCTTTAGCTGCTGGTACTGTTAAGTCAAGACCAGGGATTATACAACCAATAGCCTTTCTTTTCAATTTCATTTGGAAGCTGCGTAGGTTGTCCATTTGCCCCAGGAACAATTTTTCCGGGCTTCAAGAAGGACCCGCTGTCTCTCCTCCGAAGTGAGGAGGACCTGTAAAAGCTGTTGGCAATCGTCCCAGGTGGGCTGATGGGTAGTAAGAACCGACTCCAATAAATCAGTCATTTTCACAGGATCTGCTGAAAAGGAGGGGTTATTACTTTTCCAGTTATAAAGATCTGAGGCAGAGAACGGCCAGTACTGCAACTGGCCATCATGGCCCGTCCGGAGGCAGGGCGGTTGAATCCGGGAGCGGGCTGAGGCCGCGGCGCCACCCGGAAGGGCCGGAGCGTCTGCCGGGGAGCGGGGGCGAGGGGCGTGGCGGCCGCTCTCTGACCCGGTCCATCGCCGGGGTCTTTCACAACCAGAACCAAAGAAATGTACCCTGACCCTAAAACCAGTGCCAAAGGAACACACTTTGTCCCTGGAATCAGAGTCAGTGAAAGAAATGTACCCTGGCCCTAAAATTGGAGCCAAAAGGCTAAAAAGGACCAGAGAAAGAAACACACTTTGGCCCTGAAACCAGAGCCAAATCTGATCCTAATCCTGTTTAAAAAAGTAACCAATCCCGGAGCAGAGCTCTAGCCAATCTGAGCTCAGCACTGAAATCGGACCAATCCCTACTCTGGAAAAACTTCCCCAACCCCAAGAATCCCTATATAAACCTTGTGTATGTTCAGCTTGGCTGGTCAAGCTGCCTTCCAATAAACCCCTTTGGATGAGCTTTGGGTGAAGATCTTCTTTTGTGACGGCGACAGAGCAGAGGCGACCCTGGGCAGAGCAGAGCGAGCAGCGCTGTAACACTTGCCCGGGAAACCTTCCTTGGCAGAGTGGAGTTGTTAAACTCTGCTCCCCGCTCTCCGCTCTCCAGGAGCAGAGCTGAACTGTAGCAACTTTGCCTGAGAAACCTCCGGCCTAGCAAAACTGCTACACTAGGCGAACATCCCCAGCTGGAAGACCCTGTCCTGCCGGAGCGGAGCTGATACACTGGAGAAGCCTTTCTCTGAGGCAAGGCTGTAAGCTGCCAAGCTTAGTGCAACCTGTGGTGGTCCTTGGCTCCCTAGCTCCAGGATACCTTTCCACCTGAGCTGTGTAACACTGAGTATCCTTGGCTCCCGAGCTCCAGGATACCTTTCCACCTGAGCTGTGTAACACTGAGTACTCTGTGACGCTTGAGTGCCAGAATACCTGACCCACTCCTGTTCCATCCTGTCCCGACCCATCCCAAAACGCTTACAAGGGGGATGTTTGTGAGTTGGAAGCCAGCCTGGTCTACAGAGTGAATTCCAGGAGAGGGCTGTGGTAGTGAGAGCTTGTCTCAAAACAAACAACAAAAAAAAGCTGTGGCAGGGTGGCACACATCTTTAATTCCATAGACAGGTGGATCTCAATGAATTCAAGGCCAGCCTGATCTACATAGTTAGCCAGAGCTACCTAGTGAGATCCTGTCTGCAAACAAAGGTGGTTGGGGAGGAGGGTTGGGCATGATACATACTTGCCATCAGCCCCTCCTCCTTGGTTTTTGTTTTCAGACTGTTTTTCAGACAATTTTACTATGTAGCCTAAGCTGACTTAGAATTTACTAACCTCCTGCCTCAGGTGTCCAAGTGTTGAGATTATACATATGAGCCGCCATACCCACTTTTAAAAATTTGTTTTCCCAACATTTGTTTTGAACTTTTTATACTAACCCAGAGTTGTAAAAAATACAAGCAGTGGAGGCCTGTTTTTGTATAAACCACAAACTGAGAGTGGTTTCCACAGTTTTGTATGTTTTGTTTTTTTTAAGACAGGGTTTCTCTGTGTAGCTCTGTCTGTCCTGGAACTCACTCTGTAGACCAGGCTGACCTCGAACTCATAAAGATCTGCCTGCCTCTGCCTCCTGAGTGCTGATATTAAAAGCATGCACTCCAACACCCATCTTAAAAATTTATGTATAATTTTATGTGTAAAAGTGTTTAACTGCTGTGAGCCACCTTGTGGCCTGGGAACCAAACCAGGATCCTCTGTGAAAGCAGCAACTGCTCTTAACCTCTAAGCCATTTCTCCAGCCCCCAGCATCCACAATTTCAAGGGGCTAGAGTAAAAATACAAAAGGAAGAATGTTTTATAAAGCTTTTAAAAAATTACAGGAAATTCAACTATCAGTGTGTAACTATCACTTACCACTTGTTTCTGTGTTACCCAAGGCTGCTTCCACTATGCAGGGGTGGTCCCAGACACCCCTTTGCTAAGCCCCAAATACTTACTGTTTGAACCCTTTTTACAGAAAGTCTGCCAACCCCTGACTCAGATTTATCAATTATTAAATGTCTTTTGTATGGTTCTTGGAAGGAACCCAGGGCCTAGCAGAGAAGCATTACACAGCCAAGACCCTTCTCCAGCTCTTCAAGGATTAAGATTATCTGTTGTTTCTATCCTTAAGTATGTTAGTGGTTGTTTGCCTTTTTCTTTTTTCTGGGATGGAACCCAAGACCTCTAACATTCAAGGCAGGTTTGCTTCCCCAGCCCTCTACTTGTGGAGCCAATCACAAGAAATTGCAGGCTTGCAATGAGAAGAGACAAGATAATGAAGAGTTAGGTGCCCTGTGCTTGGTGTGTAGACAGAACTCAATAAACAAGGCAATGAAAATTCCAGGCATTTTTTTCTCACAGGGTTTTGAAAAAAAAGAAAGAAAGACTAGCTTGGGCCTGCTGAGCCTGGGTCTTTGCTCACTCCCTAGTTCCTGCAGTCTGGAAACCAGCTTTTCCCAGAAAGGATTTTTAGCCAAAGAAGCAGAAAAGGCCTCCAGGAAACTTCATTTTTTCCACAGCTTGTGGCTTGGCTGACTCAACTTCTGCCTTTCCCTGAGTCACAAGTTTGTCGTCTTCCTTGGAGAAGGGGGAGAAGGGCGGGAGCCCTCAACTCAGACCTCCCCACCCACAGTCAGGCCTCGCTGGGAAGGGGTGGGTAGCTGGATGATCAGTTTATGCTGCTCTAGGGGACTTCCCACCCTTCCACTCCATTGCATGGGATGCTGGGGCTGGCAGGAGGCAGTTGAGACTGAGCTCTCAGTGGGCCCTGAATCACCAGTGGAACAAAGCTGGAGGCGTTTCCTGTCTCCAGAATCAACAGGTATTCATTCCTTCCTCTGGTCTTTCAGACTCCCCTTCTTCAGGCAGCCACTCTCTGCCAGACACTGTGTGGGATGCCAAGATGCCATCATAAACAAACAAGACTGTTCTGCTTTCACAGGGACCCATGCTCATCCTAGCCACCTCCATGTCTCCCTGAAAAGTCCACCCTTTCTGAGGAGGTGAAAGGGGAGATCAGGGGATTGAGGCAGCCATGAAACATGACCCTGCCGACTGAAGACCGCTCCACGTAAGCAGTGCGTGCACTTGGAATGGCATTTTCAGTATCCTACCTAAGCCTCTTGGTGGGACTGGAACACTGCCTCTGTTGAAAAGCAGACTCCTCCCTGGTGCCAACAGAGGAGGTGAAAGGGAGCTGAGACCCTAGCATGTCTGCCTGCACTTACCGCACATGTAAGCATATCACTCACTAAAGGCATGCCTGTCTAAAAACAACAGTGACCTAACCGCTTTCATGGCATTCACACAGGAAGCATCTTACCTTCAACTTTTACAATATCCTGTTCCAAAGCCCCGAAACGCACCAGAAGTTCTGTAGTCATTGTCCCAAGCTCGTGGATTCTGAGAATAGCAAAGCCTCCCATCCCATCAACCCCCACCCCAGCCACCTTCAGACAATGGTCTCTGATGTCCTCACATCCCCCTGCCCAAATTCTTCTTCTATTTAAACCTAAAGCTTGTGTCAGTGCTCCGATGATGGACTTGAGACGTCACAGAACCCCTTTATCTGTGAATGAAAAGAAAAATGAGATGAGGACACGACGTTCCTAGTAGGTTTACCGTAGGTATGTAGATATTGTAAATATGAGGAAGAGCATAGGCAGAGGCATCTGGAAAACTCCAGAGTGAAATGGCCGGCAGACTGAAATGGGCCATGTGGGAAGACGGGCCAAGGGAGATCGGAGAGCCAGAAGCCAAACTGCCAGGAAAGTGGGAATAAAGAGCAGTTGCCTAGACACAGTAGGAAGCCCAGCCCAGCCAATGGACTGGAGAGTTGAAGGTGAGGTATGCAAGCCAGGATGACTTTGTAACCGATCCTGAGAAAGGCTGGGGAATCTGGCGGCCAGCGTCTGCTTTGATATGGTAAATAAGCACCTTGGGTAACCACTCATCTGGGGTTTGAGATGATATAACAATCTGTTCTCCCCAATCTCCCCCTCCGCCTCGAACCATCACTCATTTCTCTCTCATTGATGAATGGGGACTGTTGGAAACTCAGTGCCAGGCTTTGGTCCTAAAACTCTAGTAATAGTTAGAGCCTAGCCTGTGGGACCTCAGACACTGTCTTTTCCTTCTACACAGAGGAGAGTTTGTGTACATCACCAACCAGAAATCCAACTGGGATATATGCATGGGCAGGGGGGGCCTAGAGTGGTGAGGTGGGTGGTCGAACATGAACCCCCGTATAAAGGGGAGTAGATCTGTATTCCCAAACCCTCCTGCCTCAGCTTCCTGAATGCTGAGATCACAGGCATGTACCACCAGACCCCCAAATCTTAGATAAGCTAAAAATCAGAGCTGGCGATACAGCTCATTGATATAACACTTATCTAGTATGTGAGGCCTTGAGTTAAAAGTCTCAAATTTTATGTGAATTCTTCCCATCTGAAATGTTCACAGCAGCGCAGTTTGTAAATGTTTAAACAAATTTCAAGCCAAAAAGGAAATGATTTTAAAGTATGGCTGTTCAATAAATGCTGACGGGTGGGGTGGGGTGGCTGGACGACGGTAGGAATTTGGTAGAGATTAAGGGGCAGAAGGCTGGAGACCCAGTTTAGGTAAAACTCTGTCTTTGCAACCAAACAGCAACAAAATGGGCGAGGTATAGAACCCCTGCTTTGGGGCCAAGAAGACCTCTCTGAGGAGCTGACATCGAAATGACAGCGGAGAGGGAGTGGGAAGGGTGGGAGTGGAACCAGCCCAGTGATTTTGAGGAACCGGAAGAAGACAGTGGGAGAGGATTGCGTGGGGGCAGGTGAGACGGGAAGGCTGGCTCGGAGTTGAGTTCTGAGTGTCCATAGCAGCCAGGGTGGAGTCAAGCAAGGGGTACTTTAACCGGTTCGCACTGTGGAGCTTTCGTGATGAGAACGTGGGGGTGCACTAAACTCATAATACTTCCTCCCGGGGGTCTCTGACATTTCCCACTGGGAAGTTTTTACGATGGTCTTCAAACAATAGGCGCGTCGCCGTTGCCGAAAACAGTCACCGTGACACCAGGGGGGCATCCGAGGGCCCCACGATCCCGTCGCGCGCGGCACAGTCGCGGACCGTCCCCCGAACCCGCGCCGACCTTGTCTTCGGCATGGAGGCCCGGGAAGCTGGTAACTAACCGGGATCTCCAGCCAGGGATCGGTCCCGGGACCCCCCACGCAGGAAGCGAACTGACCGGTTCACCATCCAGCGGTTCAACTCCACCCGCGCACATTTCTGGGGAAACCGAGCCCGCTTCGGGCTCCGCCTCCCGCCTGCGTGCCAGGGCTCCGATTGGTCAAGCGGCCGCCCAGAGAGGGCGTGGCCAGGGAGTTGGAGCCGGGAGGCGTGGGCGGCGCGGGGATTGGCGGACCCGAGCGGAGACCGTACGCGAGCCGAGCCGGCTGCGCTGGGTGCGCGGGTCTCCGCCGGAGGAGGGAAGCAGGCTTACGGCACCGGGAAGCGCTCCCCTCCCGCCCGCAGCTGCGGGTCGAGGTGGCCGCGGGGGATCGACATCTGGGACTTCACCGGAGCCGAGGGCGCTCGCTGCTTGCTGACTTGGGAAGCGGTTGACAAGCAGGGACTCAGGGGCCACTGAGTCCCCGAGATGTGCGTGAGCTGTGAGCCGGGGGCGGGGGGGTCCTCCACGGGGTCTCTTCCCGCATCTTTGTCCCACGATGTTCCGGGAGGCTTTACTTAGCCTGAGACGCTTTGGGGAGAGAGGGAGGGACGGTTCTCCCTGGCCTCTGGTTTGGGGTCCTTGAAGAGTTTGAGTTGGCGACTCTAGTATAAGGTGGGGCCCGGACTCTCCTAGGGAACACCTGTAGTGCGGGAGCTCGGTCGCCAGGCTTCCGTGGGAGGGAAAACAGCAGTTCCGAGGCACTCCGAAACGCGCGCACACGCCTAGAGGGCGCAGGCCTTGGAATTTGAACACAGCTGATAGCAGATTCCACAGGGTTAGAGGCCGCAGAGGAAGGGCGATCGGTGCTACTACAGTCAAGATCTCTGCGGTCTGTTGTAAAAACCGAAGTGCCTCACTTGCTGTGCGACGTGCCCTGCCCACGTCAGCCCTCAGAGCTGCCTAGAGTGGCCAGGCCCAGCTGCCTGATCGCTGGGACTTGGCCAGCCCAGCCGCGCCAAGGAAGGAGGGGTTTGGCATCCTGGCCTGCGGGGTGGGACGGGGCCACCCTGCTTGTCTGTGATAGAGAAGACTAGGCAGCCCTGGAGTTTAAGAACTTCTGATTCCGATTGTGTGCTGGGGGAGAGGCTCGTCTCACGCCTCGCGGGGAGTCATTCTCCTCTCTTCATCATGTGAGTTCCCGGCATGGAATTCAGTCGGTCTTGGCCACAAACATCCTTACCCTCTGAGCCATCTTGCCCAACTAGGTTTTGTTTTGTTTTGAGATAAGATCTCTCCGTGTATATATAGCCTAGATTAACCTAGAACTCGCTTTCCTCCTGCCTCATCTTCCCAGGTGGTAGATTACAGGTATCTCCCCAGGTCAAAGTTTCTCTTCCTTGCCTCAGAGTTTATTCGGAAGCTTGGCCGCTAGCTGAGGTTCTGCGGTGGTGGCTGTGAAGGGAAATGGTGCTTTCTGCTGGGGAGCTTTTGTGGGGACTGAGTTAGGTCAGCCATGCGATGTGCTTAGCATTGTGCCTTGCTAGCTGTGGGTGCCGAGAAAACGGCACCTACGGGCTCATTTTCCTTATTCTGTTTTCCTGGAGGAGGATTCCAGAAAGTCTCAGTGACTCACTACCCTTGTAATAACTTGGGAATGCTCACACGGGCCTGTGGGCCTGCAAGGTGACCCTACCTGCCCCTGTAACCTGACCGATTAGCCCTGTGCCTCACCCCTTCCTCCTGAGTTCCAGGTCCCAGACCTCTCTTAGGGGCTGTACCGCATGGGCAACAGGATATGATGGGTTACATCGGAACAGATGTGGTTATCAGTATCCATGAGTAAGATGCCTTGTGCATTCTACATGTGTCAGGGGTCAGCAAACCTTTTCTACAAGGGGCCAGAGAGTAAATATATGTTCGATTGTGTTATCTTGAATGTGATTGTATTTCTTGTAGCATTTAGGCTGGCAGTGGGCCAGATTAGGTCTGGATTTTTAGCTCCTGGTTGTAGATCACATTTCCTCCCTTGGCTATCATGTGTTGATCAGTGATGGGCGTTTGGGTTGCTTCTGCCTCTTGGCTTTTGTAAACACACATAAGAATATCAATATTCCTTCCAACCCCTTTGTAGATAGACCCGTAGTGGTAAAGGTGAGTGTATAGTAACTTTTTTTGAGGAGCCTTCAGGTTGTTTTCCATAGTAGCTATGTCATTTTTTTCAAGACGTGTTTGTTTATTTTATGAATGCATCCATGTATGTGCACCACATGCATGCAGATCCCTTGGAACTGGAGTTACAGGAAGCCGTGAGCCACCTGGTGTAGGTGTTAGAGAATCAGGAACCACTGAGCCATCTCTCCAGCCCATAGCTATGGCATTTTACACTCCCAGCAGCAGTGCATGCCTTTTCTACTTTTCCCACACAGGCACTTACTGTATTTTCTTTGATAAGAGCCTTCCAATGAGTATGAGATCTCCCCCTGTTTTTTATCTATCAATGGGTTTCTTGAACAGTTTGGAATGTTGTATGGTTTCTACGTTAAGTGACATTCTGTTGTAGTGCCATCCTAGGGTGGCTCATTTCAGTCCATCAAGGGAGGAGAGCCTGTTTTGTTTTTAAGATTTATTTTTACTTGTATTCATGTGTCTGTGTGACTGAATGCCACATGTGTGTGAATGCATGAGGCCAGAAGGATGTGTCAGACCCCTCTGGAGCTGGAGTTACAGGCAGATATGAACTAGGCATTCTATGTAGATACCAGGGTCCAAATTCTGTCCTCAGGAAGTGCTCTTACTGCTAACCTGTTACTCCAACCCAAAAACAGTTTTTTATTATTATTTGTTCTGCTCCTAAGTGGTTCAGTTATCTTTGCTACCCAGAAGCCACTGCAATTTCGGGTCTACTATCCTGGGCCATTCTGGCCTCTGCACAGTGAGATGTTATCCACATTGACCCCCCCAGCACAATGCCTGGTGGCCATATTGGCACATTAAGGGACACAGTTTGGGTTTGTCAGATTGTCCCTCAGCCAAGAACTGGTGATCAGGTGGCAGAATGGCTTGGGGTTGCAAAGTTTGCTGCTAAGCTCAGCAAACTAAAAATAGTTACTACATCAGCTCTGTGTGTGTGTGTGTGTGTGTGTGTGTGTGTGTGTGTGTGTGTGTGTGTGTATTTTAAGACCAAAGATTGGTGTCTGTTGTCTTCCTCAATTTCCGTCCACCTTGTTTTTTTAAAGCTTTATTTTACTTTTAATCATAGGCATACACGTATGGGTGGTATCTTAGGGTTTCCAGTTACTGTGATAAAACACCACGACCAAAACGCAAGTTGGTGAGGAAAGGGTTAATTTGGCTTCCTCTTTGCTGTATCACTGAGGAAGTCAGGACAGGACCTCAGGGCAGGAACCTGGAGGCAGGAGATGGAGGGGTACTGCTTACTGGCCTGCTCAGCCTGTTTTCTCATAGAACCCTGGACCACCAACCCAGAGATGACCCCACCCACAATGGACTGGACCCTCACACATCAATCACTAAGAAAATACCTTAAAGACAGATCTTTTTGGTTTTTTGTTTGTTTTGTTTTGTTGACGCGGGATTTCTCCGGGTAACAGCTCTGGCTGTCCTGGAATTTGCTTTGTAGACCAGGCTGGCCTGGAACTCACAGAGATCCGCCTGCCTCTGCCTCCCAAATGCTGGGATTAAAGGCGTGTGCCACCACTGCCACTACAGCCACCACCGCCGCCGCCGCCAAGTTGACATAATACTAGCCAGCACAGGTGGGTATATGCAAGTATAAATGCAGATGCCTACAGAATCCAAAAGAGTGTGCTAGATTCCTTGGAGCTGGGAACTGAACTTAGGTCCTCTAGAAAGGCAGAATAGGCCCCTCTGCCTTATTTTTATTTTGTTTTGTTTTGAGAAACCGTCTCTCACTGAATCTGGCACTTGCAGATTCAGCTAGATTGTCTGGCCAGGAAGCCTCAGGGATCCTCTTGTCTCTACCTCCCCAGCAGTAGAATCATTCACACACCACCACACCTAGTGTTTTATGTGGGACCTCAAGATCTACTTGGGTCCTTATGCTGGTGGGCAAACTCTCCACCAAATGAGCAGTCTCCCAGCCCATGAGTAGGTATGATAAAGTATTATGAAGGCAAAACAAAACAGGATGATATCTTACAGAAGGGGTCAGTAAACTTTTCCACAATGGTCCAGATTTTCAGTATTTCAGGGTTTGTGGCCATATGATTTCTGTCAGACTTAGCTCCATCATACTATATACATGAATGTGCATGGCCGTGCTCCAATAAAACTTTATTTATGGCCAGGCGTTGGTGGTGCACGCCTTTATTCCCAGCACTCGGGAGGCAGAGGCAGGCAGATCTCTGTGAGTTCAATGTCAGCCTGGTCTGCTGATCAAGTTCTAGGACTGCCAGAACTGTTACCCAGAGAAACTCTGTCTTGAAAAACCAAGAAAGAAAGGGAGGGAGGGGGGGAGGGAGGGAGGAAAGGAAGAAGGGAGGGAGGACAGGCTCAGGGATGAAGGCTAGATTTGGATTTTGAGCCACTAGGTGAATGGTGATTCTGATGATGGAGTTGAGCTAAAAGGAGAGGGCCCAGGAAACATTGGGTTCAGTGTTGAGTATCAGAAGCTAATTTGATGACTGGGTAGGCCAGTGGCTATCCATACCTAGAGCTTAGTGGAGATACCAGTCCTGGAGGCTTGGACCAGGAAGTGGCCACGTCTGTGTATCCTTCAGTTCTGCTGGGCTTAGAAGGGTGGGTGTGGACAGCAGGAGGAAGCTAGGGTATGCTATGAGGCTATCAATGTTTGCTGCCTAGTACATCAGCAGGGAACCCCGGTGGACCTTACACTTCCCAGAGGAGGCGCTGTGTTGTGAAATCCCTCCAACTATTACAGTCTGTTTCCCCCCATAAGATGGGGGCAGAGGGTTTTCTAACCTACTAGGGTTCGTGTGAGAACTAAATGAGATAAAGCTGCCCTTGGCTGAGAGGTAGTACTCAGTACATGGCCTCTGAGATGCTATGGTGACCTTCAGCCACCCCACAACAGTCAGCTACCTTGGGCAAATGAGGGCTCGCAGAGCCTATGATTGGTTTGGATCCCAGACACTCATATTGTCCGACACACAGTGTTCAGTGTATGCACCCCCATCCTTCCAATCACACATTGTCCCAGAACAGCTGATAGGAGTTGGAGACTCACTATTCCAACCTCCTTGACCCTGACGCATGCCTGAGGTGTGCTCTACTCCCCAGGCTTTTAATCCTTGCAGTCAACTGCTCGTGGCCGTCTTCTCACCACCGTCTGCCTTCCACATGCTTCCTGCTGCAGAGCCCCCTTCACCCATCCCAGCCCCCAATAATTTATGTCTCCCACTCCTTGCGTCAGGTAGGCCTCTGGAGCACTCAGTTTCTGTGCCTGGGAGGCTAGGTAGGCTTGCGAGGCACCGTGGGATAATAGGCTTGTCTGCTTCGAGTGAGCTGTTGTGGTGGGGCGGTGAGCAGTGTGGTCCTGACTTCACGGGCAAGCTGATGACAGCCTCCCTGTCTGCCTCTTACAGCCTCGCTGCTGAGAAGATGGTGGACCACTTGGCAAACACAGAGATCAACAGCCAGCGGATTGCGGCAGTGGAGAGCTGTTTCGGGGCATCGGGGCAGCCGCTGGCCCTGCCCGGACGGGTGCTGCTGGGCGAGGGGGTGCTGACCAAGGAGTGCCGCAAGAAGGCCAAGCCACGCATCTTCTTCCTCTTCAACGACATCCTGGTGTATGGCAGTATCGTGCTTAGCAAGCGCAAGTACCGCAGCCAACATATTATTCCCCTGGAGGAAGTAACATTGGAGCCACTGCCAGAGACCCTGGAGGCCAAGAACCGCTGGATGATCAAGACAGCCAAGAAGTCCTTTGTGGTGTCGGCGGCCTCCACCACAGAACGCCAGGAGTGGATCAGCCACATTGAAGAGTGTGTGCGGAGGCAGCTGCTGGCCACGGGCCGCCAGCCCACCACTGAGCACGCAGCACCCTGGATCCCTGACAAGGCCACGGACATCTGCATGCGTTGCACACAGACACGCTTCTCGGCACTCACCCGGCGTCACCACTGCCGCAAATGCGGCTTTGTGGTCTGTGCTGAGTGTTCCAGGGAGCGTTTCCTGCTGCCACGTCTCTCCCCCAAGCCCCTTCGTGTCTGCAGCCTTTGCTACCGAGAGCTGTCTGCCCAGAAGCGGATGGAGGAGGCCAAGGAGAGGTGCAGGGACTCTCCAGGGCAGCCAGCCCGCCTAGGCGGCACTGTCAGTGGTGCATCCAGTGGCGATGATGATGACTCCGATGAGGACAGAGAAGGCAGCGGGGATGGCGACTGGCCCAGCCAGGTGGAATTCTACACTTCTGGTGTCTCCTGGTCAGCCTTCCACAGTTGACCCTCACCTTCAGAGCTTCTGCACCAGGCCAGTCCGCTGTCCCAAACCTGCCCATGGTAGTGGTAGTGGGCGTGTGACAGGTGGCTGTTCCAGAGCCATTACCAGTGTCTTTCTGCTAGACGGCAGGCTCCTAGGCCCTCTTCCGCTTCTGGTCGGATAATCGCCTTTCCATTTCACCAGGCACAGAACATGAAGTCCTTGCTGACCAGGCTGCAGCCCTTGGGGTTAGACCAGGCCAGGTGTCCCAAGCATTAAAAGACCAGGGTTGAAGAGGGCAAAGGGAAGACCAGACCAGAGTGGGGGTCCACTCCATTCTGAAGCTTGGCAAGCATAGCGCATGCCAGAGCAGGAGGCCTGCATACCCACCACCATGCAGGGCCTCTGGGTCCTGTCAAGCTGGACCCTAGATGTACTGTGTGTGCCCTCCAGACCCAGGTGAGCCTGAATTCCCTCAGCCCAGGACAAACCCCAAGTGTCTGGTGCCTGTTTGTCCTGTCCCCATCTCTATCTGTGGTCAGTAAAAGTAGTGTTTTACTGTAGGACTCTGGGTTTCAAGGACAGAAACCCTATCCAGACTTACTTACCAATAAAAAAACAAAACAAAAAGGCAAAAAGCAGCTCTTGTGATTGCTAAGTCTTAGAGTACCCTAGTTTCGGACACTGCTCAACCAAGGGTAGAGACCATGGCTAGGGACAACCGTCACTGACACTGCCACACTGGGCATTCGTGGAAATGCCTCCCACCCAGTGAGACATTCATACCACACTGTTCCGCAAGAACAAAGATCCATTCTGTTGCTGTGACAGCCTGCCTGCCTGCCTGCCTGCTTTGCTTTTGAGACAGGGACTTGCTACTTAGGACTGACACAAACCTGACATCCTCTGACCTCAGCCTCTCCAGTGCTGGTATTACAGGCATGTAATGTACCACTACACCTAGCTTATGGATGTGGGCTGTTTACATGGGTACTAAAGGAAACAAGGTGTTTGTCTCACACAGTCAGATCCTTCTGGGGTGAAAGACCCTCCTGTGTAGTCTTCCTGTTCAGCCCCTGCAGATGGTGCCTGCGAGTCAGGGAGCAAGCCACTAGCCTTTCCTGTAGAATAGAGAGCTTCAGGGCCCTTCAGAAAGCTTCTTTAAAGCTGTGCATGGTAGCTCATGCCTGAAATCCCAGGAATCAAAGAGGCAGGATCGGGAGTGAAGCCAGCCCTGGCTACATAAAAGCCCCCTGCCTTGAGAAGCTATACTCTCTGTGGGTATTTATGAATCAGTCTTTGCCCAGGACCTGGCTACCCTTAAATGGAGCCCCCCCCCATGTAGAGTGGGGTCACCGTCAGCTACATGGGACTTTGCTGCTAAGAAGGCTTCTCCCCACCTCTAAGTATAGGGAAGCCTATACATTGTGATTCTCTAGGTCGGGTCCAGATCCCAAAGTCTGCAGTTGACAGGCATGGGGTCACCCTTCTAAGAGTGCTGCGGGGGTAGAATATGGGGCACCCAGGAGTTGCCTGTGGCCCTGCCTGCACTGGCGGCTGCAACAGGCTGCGGGGGACGGGAATGTATTTGTTTGTAGCCCTTTCACATAAAGTAAAGGCCTCACAGACTGGTCCAGGCTGCTTCTCCTGTTTGGGCACAGGGTCAGGCAGGCTCCCAGGTGAGGAGCAGCTTCCTGGTGTGTCCTCAGAAGTCCAGGCCAGCAGCCCCATCCCTTCCACCCATGGCCGGTGACTCACAGACCTCACTCCCTTGGAACCTTCCTTTTCTGGAAATCCTTAGGGTATAAAAGGCAGCAGTTCCTGTGGACGGAAGGAACTGCCTGAGGCTGAGCCCTTAGCCACCTCTGTCCTTAGACACCTGACAAAATGAGTGTGGTCGCAAGAGTCTGGGGGGTCAGGGCAGGCTGTGGAGGGCCGTGTGGCACTGTGGGAAGTAGAAACAGGAGCTGGCTTATCCCTCAGCCCGGGGCTCAGACCAGCTCCCTCTCCCACAGACCTAGGACAAGGATGTTTACTTCCCTAAGCCCCAAGCTGCTGGAGACCACAAGGGCCCCAGGTGGTCAACAACCTTGGGAAGGTGTTCATTTATGCAAAGTTACTGAGACTTGGCTGTGTTTCCTGCCAGACGCTAGGGACACCACTGTGAATAAGATGAACTTGGCTCTCAGGTGAGAGAGGAGACTAGAGGCTGGTACCAGGGGCACAGAGGCACCTCTGGGTGAAGAGGGAGCCATGCCAGTGGAGAAACAGCATTCCAGGCACTGGCAATGGCTAGTGTCAAGGCCTTGTGTCCTGGAGAAACATGATGAGGTCAAGGCCAAATGACAATAGAACCCCCTCCTCCCTCAGAGACTTCTACAGCAGCAATCTGTTCTCTGATGGCTTTGTTCTGCCTGGTCGGTAGATGCCTGGTATGTGGGGAGGTAGGCAGGCATGGCGGTTGTGTGGCCAGAAGCTAGCCTGGATTCCCAAGGGAATCTATGGAAAGTCCATCCTCTACGGGAAGCTTCCATGGCCTCTCTTCTGCCCCTGACTCTAGGGTTCTACCAAGATACTAAGGGAACTCCCAGGAAATGACTTTTGGGACCCTTGTGTGAGACCAAGTGACACGCAGTCGACCCCCACTGCTGAAGTGTAGAAGGAAACAAACTTGAAATAAGATGTATAGGAAAAGAAAATGGTGAGTGAGCCTGTATGGAAGAGGAAACCTGTGCCCTGGTGTGATGGTGCAGTCACTATAGAGGCCATTGTGCAGGCTTCTCAGGCAACAACAGAACTCTGGGGTTGGTCCTGTTCAATCTGGGTAGTCCCCATACACTTGGGTGCCATGGTTATCCTGGCAATATTCACAACAGCCCATATGGAACACTAGTCTAGGTGTCAGATAAAGAAGATGTGACGTACACTGCAGATTCATTCAGACACCAAGGAGAAGGAAATTTCTGTAGAGAAATGGGTGGAACTAGAGATTGCAGTGTTAAACCAAACAAGTCAGACCCAAGGATCACATTTTTTCTCATAAGCAGAGTGAAAGTAGAAGGGTACTGTTTAGGAAGAGAAAGGGGACCATCGAGGGAGCAAGAGAGAGAAATAGAGTGAATATGATAAAAATGTTCGATACATACGTGTAAATGTAACATCAAAAACTCTAGAATGGCCGGGCGTTGGCAGTACACACTTTTAATCCCAGCAGTTGGGAGGCAGAGGCAGGCGGATGGATCTCTGTGAGTTCAAGGCCAGCCTGGTCTACAGAGTGAGTTCTGAGATAGACTCAAAGCAACACAGAGGAAACCATGTCTCCAAAAAAAAAATTTCTAGCATGTGGCCATAGAATGGAGCCAGGGAAGGGAAGGGACTATTGGAGGCTGTCCTCAGTCCCCTGCTGAGGAAGCAAGGTCGAAGGCTTGCAAGTCATGCTATTAGGCTGTTCTGAGAAAGGGGCCTGCCTGGGGAGCAGGTACAGCTCCCTGCCGTTGCCCAGCCATCAGGCGTATGACCTTCTCAGTTGGGACTCCCAGCTAAGGTGCTAAGTCAAGGCTACACTGCTGACCTTTGCCACTGGCCACCACTCCACCCAGGGATTTGGTTCTCAGGGTGGACTTCAACACTTCAGCTCTTTGCAGATGCCTTATCTACCCAGTACTGAACCCAAGGCCAACGGGATCTGAGAGCTACGTCTGATGGGTTGGGGCCAGGCTTCGCACAAGGCCTGGCAAGGACTCAGGAACCCACTGTCCTGCCAGCTGAGTCTCCCTGGAATGTGTCCTCCCGGCTGTGTGAACACTGTCCCTGCCAGGAGCATGTGATCCTCTGGCAGCTTTGGGTCCTTGGGGGTGGGGTGGGGGGTCTGCCTTGCCTGCCCGGGAAATGAAGAAAGACAAGGGAAGCTCTGAGACCTGCGTTGACCGCACGGGAACTTGCGTGCACCACAGCATTGCCTGAGCCAGTTGTGCAGAGTCCAGCCCGACGGAGCGTTGGGGGTAAGTTCGCAGCTGTGACCCAGTAAGCATCAGGGACAGGCTGCTCTTGCAGTCCCTGGTGGGGTCCAGTCTTCACACAGGATTCAGACACCAGGAGAGGTCATGCAAGGGATATGGTCAGGGATCCTAGTCTGTGCATTTGGCCATAGGACTTCCAGGTGCCACATTTTCTCAAAGGAGAGAGCCACTTACATATAATTAATGACATCCAGGTGTGGTCTGCCAAGGTGCGGAGGAAGTGCTTCCTAGAAAAGGTATCATTTGTTAGCAACTCAGAGTTTGGTACCTTGGCAGGCTTTATTGTGGTATCCATGAGGAAAGGAATACTGGTTCTTTTTTGTTTTGTTAAAAAATTTTTTTATTCTTTAATGGAAAAAAAAAGTGGTCAGGTATAGTGGCACATACCTTTAATCCCAGTACTTAGAAGCAGGGGCAGGTGGATCTCTGAGTTCAAGGCTAGCCTAATCTATAGAGCAAGTTCCACGACAGTTAGCCAGGGTTACTCAGAAAAACCCTATGTACTGGCTGATCTTGTGAGTCAACTTGACACAAACTAGAGTCATCAGAGAGGAAGGAGCCTCAGCTGAGGAAATGCTTCCTTGAGATCCAGCTGTAAGGCATTTTCTCATTTAGTGACCAGGACCATGGTCTGGGTCCTCCCCTGAGCTGGTGGCCCTGGATTCTAGAAGATGGTGGGTTGAGCAAGCCATGGGAAGCAGCACCCCATGGCCTCTGCATCAGCTCCTGCCTCTGGACCTTGGCCTGTTTGAGTTCCTGTCCTGACTTCCTTCAGTGGCGAACAGCAAAGTGGAAATATGAGCCAAGTAAACCCCTTCTTCCCTAACTTGCTTGTTGGTCATGGTGTTTCGTTGCAGCAACAGAAACCCTAACTAAGACACCCTTACATTTATTTGTGTAGGAGTAGGTGGTATATGCCATGTGGAGGTCAGAGGACAACTTGTGGGAGTCAGTTTCTCTCTCTCTCTCTCTCTCTCTCTCTCTCTCTCTCTCTCTCTCTCTCTCTCTCTCTCTCTCTCTCTCTCTCTCTCCCCCCCATGTAGGTAAACATCAGCAGACTTTCATGAGACTTCTATAGAAAATGATTTTCCATATGACACCAAAAGCAAAAATAGAAAGGAGGGCTACAGTCAACTGAAAAGACTCAAAAGAGTGGACAGACAGACAGGCAGGCAGGCAGGCAGCAGAAAGAAAACAAACAAAAGGATTTTGTGAGACAGGATCTCACTTTAGTCTGGGCTGGCTTGAAACTTGCTATGTAGAGCAGGCTGGCATTGAACTCACAGAGGCCCACCTGCCTTTGTCCCCGAGTCACAGGCTGGTGGTGCCTGTAGTCCTTCGGAAGCTGAGGCAACAGTTTGTGAATTTAAGGCCAGTCTGGAGTACATCGTGAGATCCTACCTCAGATAAACCAGACAACAAAAGAAAATCCAGGCTAGTTGTAAAATTGGGAAAGTAGACACTTTTCAAAAGAAATGAAATATATATTATATATATTTTATTTACATATTATATAGTTCATATATGAATACTAAGCAACAATACATAATTATATGTCGATAGTTACATATATTAATGCTTAGTATGATTAACCATCAGGGAAATATAAATCAAAACTTCATTGACCTGCCATTTCACCCCAGTTAGAATATTTACTATTTAAAAAATAAAAATCCTCCGGGCGGTGGTAGTATACACCTTTAATCCCAGCACTCAGGAGGCAGAGGCAGGCAGATCTCTGTGAGTTCCAGACCCAGCTTGGTCTACAGAGCAAATTCCAGAACAGACTCCACAGCTACAGAGAAACCCTGTCTCAAAAGACCAAAAATAAATGGAAAAATAAAAGAATTTTAAAAAGTAAAAATATGCCGGGCGTTGGTGGCGCACGCCTTTAATCCCGGCACTCGGGAGGCAGAGGCAGTCGGATCACTGTGAGTTCAAGACCAGCCTGGTCTACCGATCGAGTTCCAGGACAGCCTCCAAAGCCACAGAGAAACCCTGTCTCGAAAAACCAAAAAAAAAAAAAAAAAAAAAAAAAAGAAAAAAGTAAAAATAAAAGCCCTTCTGTAAGGTTGTGGGTAAAGGACCGCACTCACCCACAGTGTTGGCAGGGAGCTAGGCCGGTCTTCTATACAGTGGGAGGGCGTCCTCAGCCCGGTGGGAGATCTGACACATGAGCCAACTCGCCAACCTCACGGTCTCATTCCGTGTGGCAGCGTACCAGAAAGGTGCCCACACACCGTGGGTGGGCTTTACAGCAAGGTCGCAATAGCTAATTCATGCACAGGGTCCCAGAAGCAGGGCAGATCCGTCCTGACACCCACTGCCTCTCTCCCTTGCCAACAGCTGGAGGGATTCGGGTCACCCACAGGGACAGGGACCCTGTAAGAGTGACTCAAAGGCTGACCCAGTTGGGCAGGTAGGTGCAAAGCAAGGGTAGCCACTTCCTCTTGGCCTGCTTGTTAACTCAGGCCTCCAGGATGTGACCCACCCAGACAGAGGCTGTGGGGGAGGGACGGGGCTCTCTCTAGGTGTGTGGACCTCTTCGCACAGCAGATCATCGGGTTCTGGCCACCCCCGAGCTTAAGCCTCAACCCTTGTCGCTGTCTGCAGAGGTTCCCGACTTGTGAAAGCCCACATCCTCCTTGTCTGTGCTCTGCCTCAGCCCAAGCAGGCTCCCTAGAGGGCAAAAGAAGGGGGCTGGGCAGTGGAATGGAGTCTGCCTAGCCAGTCCTGCTGTCCTGCCTCAGCTTCCCAGGGCTGCCTTCTGGCTGCCCGCCCCTCTGTGGAGCCTCCCTGGTTGGCTATGTTCCCCTGCTCTGGCTTCCCCCACCTTCCTACAAACTGTCCCTTTGGTACCTGTGAAGTACTGGGCAATTGCAGATGATCCCTTTGAAGGGGACATGGGTGCCTCCCCTGCCTTCTGGGGCGCTGTGGGGGAAATTGTGGCTCAAAGATTTTTGTCTTATTTTGCTTTGTTTTGAGGCAGGGTTTCTCTGTGTAGCCTTGGCTGTCCTGGAACTTTCTCCGTAGACCAGACTGGCCCCAAACTCAGAGATCCGCCTGCTTCTACCTCTGGAATGCTGGCACTAAAGGTGCCACTGCCACAGCCGCAACCACCACCACCAGCCACTCAACAATCATATATTTGAATGCTTGGTCACTAGGAAGTCGAACTTGTTTGGGAATGATGAGGAGGTACAGTCTTGTTAGACGAGGTGCGTCACTGGGGGGGTGGGCTTTGAGGTTCCAAAAGCCCATGTCACAAGAACCAGGCTCTGTCTGTCTGTCTCTCTCTGCCTGCCAGAATACTCTTTTTTTTTTTTTTACGCAAATTAACCCATTTATTAGCGGCTAGGCAGGTCTCAGGCAGTACACTTTTACTGGTCCTTCAGTTCCTTCAGTCTTCTGATGGCAGACTTCACTGTGACGGCAGAAGTTGTGTTGTATGTCCAGGCCCCTCCAGCCACTGTTTTCATGCAGGAACCACAGTGCCAGATGCCAACGGCTCGTCTCTTCATCTTGGTCTTGCCGCAGAAGTAGCAGGTGTACTTGGTGTGCTGGCTGATTTCAATTTTGTTCACCATTTTCCGGAGGGAGGCACCATAGCGGGTCCCGTACTTCCCGACGATCCCGACCTTCTTGGTGCATTTAGCCATGTCGCCGGAACCTAAGCCCAAGCCCGGAGAGCACTCTTTTTTTTTTTTTTTTTTTTTTTAATCTTGTACGTTGCCTTTGTCATGGTGTCTCTTCACAACAAGGGAACAGTAACTAAGGCAACTCTCGAGGCTCTGTATCATGAGCTGATCCCATCAGCTTTGTCCGGCCTCTGTCAACACCTGCCCTGGGCAATCTAGCCAGAAGCACCTGCGTCTCCCAACGCTGCCCTTGTTTCTGTCCTTCCTCTCACCCTTCTAGCAATAACCTATCTGTGGATGCCCTGGGGGTCCAAGACCCCATCACACACCACTACACAGAGAAATTTGCACAGGAATGGGGTCTGGTCTGAACTTGGCAACACCCAAGGAGCTTCCTTTGTGCAGAGTGGAAGTCCTTCCTCCCCAGCAAGAACACAGAG